AAGTGGGGGTTGCTTGGCGTCACTTTATGGGAGTTTTCGGCAGAGGGCGGGGCTGTGGCGGCGCGGCGAAGTCAGGCGTACCGCCGTGGCCTTACGTTTGCCTCCCATTTCGTCATTTCTAAAGATATCGTCACGAAACTTCTTGTGAGTGATCCTAGTCCGGCCCCCCAAAAGATCTGATGTGAACATCCGGTGGGCGTGGCCTATTTTCTGAAATAGCGCCCCCTAGGACCATTAAAACTGTCAGCCCCAAGCCATGCTTTGACTGAGGATTACGAAATTTGGTACACTAATGTGGTGTCTAAGGACCTACAAAAAAGTCTCTTGGAGCCAAGTGCAAAGTCGCACAGGAAGTCGGCCATTTTGGTCCAAGTGTGCGATTTAGTGGTTTTCACACACGTTGTTTGGAGAGTGATGCTCCGTCGCCCTTTTCACCAATCGCCTTCAAACTTCTGCTATATACTCTTAAGACATAGAGGAAAAAATTCAACCGTCGGATTTTAAATAAGTATAAAGGTGTGGGCGTGGCTAAGCCTCAAACATTGACCTTTCGCCACGCCACTCTTTTTTTCACAGCTCCCTATTGGACCCATTTTACCCAATCACCAGTAATCTCTGGTAAATAGCAGCAGACAAGTTGAGGTCACTTGGTCTCCAGTACTGGAAGGTTTTGAGAAAAGGCGGGGCTTTGGGAGCATGGCGAAATTCGCCATCACGCCATGGAGATACGTTTGCCTCTCATTTCTTCATTTATCGTGATATCACCTCGAAACTTGTTGTGAGTGATCCTAGTCGAACCCCCAATAGAAATGGATGGCTGAAGTTTGTGGGCGTGGCCTATTTTCTGAAATAGCGCCCCCTATGTCCATTAAAACTGTCAGCCCCAAGCCATGCTTTGACTGAGGATTGCAAAATTTGGTACACTAATGTGGTGTCTCAGGACCTACAAAAAAGTCTCTGGGAGCCAAGTGCAAAGTCGCACAGGAAGTCGGCCATTTTGGTCCAAGTTCTCGATTTAGTGGTTTTCGCACACGTTGTTTGGACAATGATACCCCGTCGCCCTTTTCACCGATCACCTTCAAACTTCTGTTATATTTTCTTAAGACAAAGGGGAAAAAATTCAACCGTCGGATTTTAAATAAGTATAATGGTGTGGGCGTGGCTAAGCCTCAAACTTTGACCTTTCGCCATTACATTACTTGACTTAACAACTCCAATGTGCATGATCAGATCTATATCAAACTTTGTCCGTGTGATCAATGACCAAATCTCAAGACAACGTCATTGTGGACAGGTGACATCACCTAAGCCCCGCCCCCTGACAACAGGAAGTCTATTGTTTTATGGTGAAATGCCCATATTTGTCCTCTCTAATTTAGTCAACATGACACTAAGGTCAGGCACTGTCTTCATGATGTTGCAATGACCATTCAGATCTGATAACTTTCCAGATAGGGAGGGGCTTTGATGCCATGGCGATTTCTGGCATGACGCCATGACCTTACGTTTGATCGTAACTTCCACAAACAGCCTCCCATCTGCACGAGACTGAACATGGCAATCAACAATCATGCCCTTTAGCCAATGAGACACAAATGGTTGGTGAAATTCGTATAATAACACCACAGCACCCCCTACACAACATTAAAACTGTAATAACTCCTACAGACGAGGTCGTAACTGCACCAAACTTGGTGTGCTCAGAGGGGATGCTCAGTCAGGGTGAGGTGCGGACGAGGTGACCGTTAGCTGTTTCTGGTGTCGGGGTGGTCAAAATTTTTGTTCCACGGACGTAACCTGGTGCCTCGGGCTGCCGGCCAGGCCGGAGCGGCGCAGAGCTGCGAGGGCCGAACGACGCTGCTTGCAGCTTTAATTATTTTTTGTTATTCCGTGCCCCCTTTGAACGGCTTTTTGGGGACCTTAACATACCCAAAAACTCACAATATTTTGCAAACTTCTCAGGCCTGGTGAAAAATTTGATATTTTAAAGGTCCCAAAAAAATCGCAAAGAAAATGGATGAACAGCGCCCCCTACAAAGTGAAAAAATACCCTCTCCATAAAGCTTAGTTTATCGTACAGTTATGAAATTTGGTACACTTGTAGAACTCAACAGTCCGCACAGAAAAGTCTCTTGCAAGCATGGTCAATATCAAACAGGAAGTCGGCCATTTTGGGTTGAAATGGCGATTTTTAGCCGTTTTTGCCGTTTTTAGGGTCCGTTTCTGATTGGATTGCTCGATCATTTTTCGCACGATCGTCTCAAAACTTGTGTAAAATTGCTCAGAAGGAATGGGCGAACAAAATGAGACAAGGATTCTGAGTTTTCGTATATGTTGAAGGGGCGGGGCCAGGCCTCGAAGTTTGACTACTCGCCAAAATTTTTTAAATTGCTATAACTTAATAACTGAAAGGAATAGAATTACCAAACTTTCTGTGGTCATTCGTCATCCAGCCACAAAGTAAATTGAATGGTCGTATGATGACATCACACAAGCCCCGCCCCCTCAGGACCAAAAAGGTCAAGTTTTACTGTGAAAGGTCCCAAATTGCCCCATTTCACTTAATCACCACAAACTTGTAGCTGGTAACTCAAGACAAGGGGAGGTTGCTTGGCGTCACTTTATGGGAGTTTTCGGCAGAAGGCGGGGCTGTGGCGGCGCGGCGAAGTCAGGCGTACCGCCATGGCCTTACGTTTGCCTTCCATTTCGTCATTTCTAAAGATATTGTCACGAATCTTGTTGTGAGTGATCCTAGTCCGGCCCCTCAAAAGATCTGATGTGAACATCCGGTGGGCGTGGCCTATTTTCTGAAATAGCGCCCCCTAGGACCATTAAAACTGTCAGCCCCAAGCCATGCTTTGACTGAGGAGTACGAAATTTGGTACACTAATGTGGTGTCTCAGGACCTACAAAAAAGTCTCTTGGAGCCAAGTGCAAAGTTGCACAGGAAGTCGGCCATTTTGGTCCAAGTACGCAATTTAGTGGTTTTCGCACACGTTGTTTGGAGAGTGATGCTCCGTCGCCATTTTCACCAATCTGCTTCAAACTTCTGCCATCTGCTCTTAAGACATAGAGGAAAAAATTCAACCGTCGGATTTTTCAAAAGTTGAAAGGTGTGGGCGTGGCTAAGCCTCAAACTTTGACCTGTCGCCGCACCACTCTTTTTTTCACAGCTCCCTACTGGACTCCTTTTACCCAATCAGCAGGAGTCTCTGGCAAATAGCAGTAGACAACTTGAGGTCACTTGGTATCCAGTACTGGAAGGTTTCAAAAAAAGGCAGGGCTTTGGGAGCATGGCGAAAATCGCCATCACGCCATGGAAATACGTTTGCCTCTCATTTCTTCATTTATCGTGATATCGTTACGAAACTTCTGGTGAGTGATCCTAGTCTGACCACAAAGAGACATAGACAGCTGAAATATGTGGGCGTGGCCTAATTTCTGAAATAGCGCCCCCTAGGACCATTTAAACTAATAGCCCCAAGCCATGCTTTGACTGAGGATTACGAAATTTGGTACACTAATGTGGTGTCCCAGGACCTACAAAAAAGTCTCTTGGATCCAATCACAAAATTGCACAGGAAGTCGGCCATTTTGGTCCAAGTACGCGATTTAGTGGTTTTCGCACACGTTGTTTGGAGAGTGATGCTCCGTCGCCCTTTTCACCAATCGCCTTCAAACTTCTGCTATATACTCTTAAGGCATAGGGGAAAAAATTCAACCGTCGGATTTTTCAAAAGTTGAAAGGTGTGGGCGTGGCTAAGCCTCAAACTTTGACCTGTCGCCGCGCCACTCTTTTTTTCACAGCTCCCTACTGGACTCCTTTTACCCAATCGGCAGGAGTGTCTGGCAAATAGCAGTAGACAACTTGAGGTCACTTGGTATCCAGTACTGTAAGGTTTCAAAAAAAGGCGGGGCTTTGGGAGCATGGCGAAAATCGCCATCACGCCATGGAAATACGTTTGCCTCTCATTTCTTCATTTATCGTGATATTGTTACGAAACTTCTGGTGAGTGATCCTAGTCTGACCCCAAAGAGACATAGACACCTGAAATATGTGGGTGTGGCCTAATTTCTGAAATAGCGCCCCCTAGGACCATTTAAACTATTAGCCCCAAGCCTTGCTTTCACTGAGGATTACGAAATTTGGTACACTAATGTGGTGTCCCAGGACCTACAAAAAAGTCTCTTGGAGCCAAGCACAAAATTGCACAGGAAGTCGGCCATTTTGGTCCAAGTACGCGATTTAGTGGTTTTCGCACACGTTGTTTGGAGAGTGATGCTCCTTCGCCCTTTTCACCAATCGCCTTCAAACTTCTGCTATATACTCTTAAGGCATAGGGGAAAAAAGTCAACCGTCGGATTTTTCAAAAGTTGAAAGGTGTAGGCGTGGCTAAGCCTCACACTTTGACCTTTCGCCATTACTTGACTTAATAACTCCCATGTGCATGATCAGATCTTTTTCGAACTTTGTCTGTGTGATCATTGACCATATCTGTAAACAATGACAATGTGGACAGCTGACATCATCTAAGCCCCGCCCCCTGACTAAAGGAAGTTATTATTTTATGCTGAAATGCCCATATTTGTCCCCTCTAATTTAGTCAACATGACACCTAGGTCATGCACTGTCTTCATGATGCTGTAATGGCCATTCAAATCTGATAGCTTTCCAGAAAGGGAGGGGCTTTGATGCCATGGCGAATTCTGGCGTAACGCCGTAACCTTACAATTCAATTTAATGGTGAGCTCAGAGGGGATGCTTAGTCAGGGTGAGGTGCGGACTAGGAGGCGATTTGCTGTTTCCGGTGACGGGATGATTGACGTTTCTGTTCTGCCAGACATGCCCTGGTGCCCCGGGCTGCCGGCCAGGCCGGAGCGGCGCGGAGCTGCGAGGGCCGAACGACGCTGCTTGCAGCTTTAATTTATTTATGTATTTGTGTATGTATTTATTTATTAATTTAATTAATTAGTTAATTAATTAAAAGGGTAGAAGCAAAAGGGGTAGAAGCAAGTGCCTGCTTCTACACTATAGTACTACTACTACTACTACTACTACTACGTTAAGGAACTTAGCTTGTATGACACATCAAAGGCCAGTGACGTCATCACTTAGCTGCATCACTGTATTACCCACCTCTCTGAGGGATTCGATCAGACGGCATCTGACTTTGTGACAGGTTACGTGTTTTCTCACTCCCACCACAGAATTTAATTTCTTATCTCAGGATGATTCAAGGACCAGCTATGTCAAGACAGCAGAGACAGCAAGCTCAGAAATACGAGCAACTCTCGTATGACCCATCAAGGCTCGAGCAAATTACGCTTCTCACAGAAGAAAATAACAAACTGAAAAGCAAACTTGAAGAAACACAGGAGCACTTTAGCAAGGCTACAGGACTTCCACTTGATGGATACCAGCTGAGACAACAGTGTATTAACTTGGAAAAACAGCTTCAGGCTTCTCAAAATCAGCTTATGGAAAGTGAGTCGATGCGCATAGCTGACAGAAACTACATTAGCGAACTTGTTCAGAACATTGAAATCCTGCGATCTGAGCTGGAAATTGTAAAGACCAGTGACTGGAAACGAGTCGATGTTATAGCAGATGAAAAAGACACGCTGTTTAACGACATTTTAATCAAACTGAGGCACTATAAAGATGAAATCTTTGGTCTCCAGGCTGCCTTTAATGAGTTCAGTGGGTGGAAAGGTCAAATTAAAACCATACATGGTAAGACAGACGCCTTGACCAGCTCGATAAGTCACCTAGAGGCGAAGCTAAGGGACCTGGTGAAAGAAGGTGAAGACATGAGTGTTTCCAAACAAAACGACACCATAATCAATGTGCCTTTATCAGAACTGAGTGATATAAAAGAGAGAAATATAGATTTAGAGTCTGAAATTAAAGGCCTGACCATAAAGAATGATGAGAATGAAAGACTAATTCAGGAACTGAGAAGAAAATTGGAAAACAGCCACAGAGAAGAGGAATGCAATTATTTCAAATCAACAATTGAAGAGTTGCAGACATCCGAGGCAGCGCTTCTAAAGGAGGTTCATGAGCTGAAGGAAACGCGCTCGATGTGCAATGAAAAGATTAATAGGCTTTCTCAAACCATCGAAAAGGCTGAACGTGAGAAAATGAGTGCAGAGAAAATTTCTGAGGAGCTAAAACAGATAAACGAAAAATTGCAGATAGTCTCCTCATTTAGGGACAGTTACCAAAAGCAGAAAGAGATGAACATTCAAGAGCCTCACTTGCAGAAAACGATAAGTCTGCAGGGGCAACAGATCAAGCAGGATGATTTGCAGGGAAGAAATGAAATGCATCAGTCTCTTAATGATAAAAATAAGCTGAAAAAAGATTCTCAATCGTCCGAACTTCAGTTAAAATTAGATAAATTAAAGATGAAGCTAGAAAACAAACAAGAGCAGTACAAGGAGCTTCACAAAGACATCTGGAGTTTTTTAGAAACTGTTTCTGATAATGCAGGAATCTTACTGAATAAGAAGGAACCTGTCAGTAATCAGATATCAACAGCCTTGGAACAAATCAAAGTTTATATCAATAACACTTCGCAGGGCCTCGTTTCTCGCAGGAATTTACACAAAAAACTAGCAGCGAAAGCCGCCGCTCTAAGGAAGGCAGAACAAGAGCTGGAGTCCAGTAATAAGGTTATAGATGAGCTGCGTATTCAGCTCGAGGAGATGAAACAAAGGCACAACACGGAACTAATTGAGCTGGAATTGGCTTCACAAGAAGGAATTACAGAATATATCAGGGAAATTAGCCAGCTGAAGGACGCAATTAAAACTGCAGAGAATGAGCTGGAATACTTAAAAAGTCCAGATTTCGAGCCAGACAAAGAACTCCCGAAAAAGGTGGAAGAACTGACTCTAGAGCTCCTGATTAGCAAGGGAAAGCAAAAACAGCTTCAGAGAATAAACGACAAGCAACAGAATGAATGTGAGGAGCTCAGGAAACAAATCAGTCAACTCAGCGCCGATAATGGGAAGTCAAGCTCTGAGGGAAAATTTGAAGAGAGATTTTTGAAGGCACAGCCTTCCAAACCGAAGACGGTAAAAGCGCCTCTAAAGAAGAATGGAGGGGAGAATGAAGTGCTTTCGCCAGGGGAAAAGGCTCCTAAATATCATGCAGGGATTCAGGAAACATCAAAGAATGAAGAAATGTTCACAGACCCATGGTCTTCAGACTCTGATGATGAAGTTCAAACGAGCTTTTGCAATGAAATACATCCCAAAGAAGACAGTTGCTCCAAAATACCAAAAAAATTGGGGCCTGAGGTGGTAAAGATGGACACTTCTCCAACGAAAACTGAAAAGGATATTGACTTATTTTTACCTGAGAGATGGTCTCCGAAAAATCAAGTCAAAACATCTGAAAACAGCAAAATAAGTGAACAAAGCCCACTATCCAGGTTCAACCCCAAACAAGGAAAAACCCCTTTACCTTCAGTGAGAAGCAGACGTACTGATCTCCCCCAAAACGTTCTACCAGTTCCTACAGATGAATTTGAAAAGAGCTTTGGGAATGAAAAATCTCCCAGGGCACACAGATATACAAAATCTACAAATGAACTGGGGGCTGAAGTAAAAAAGATAGACACTTCTCCAAATAAAATTGAAAAGGAGAAAGAGTTTATTTCATCTGAGAAAAAGTCTCATGACGAGTTCTTGGATTCATGGTTGAAGGAATTTGGTTGGTCTGATGATATCACTGAAGACAGATTGTTGCCAGGCTCCGATAGTGGATCTAGGAATGAAACATCTCCCAAGGAAGCCAAAAGCAAGAAATCTTCAAAAGAACTGGGGGCTGAAGTAAAAAAGATGGACGCTTCTCCAAATAAAATTGAAAAGGAGAAAGAGTTAATTTCACCTGAGAAAAAGTCTACCAACGAGATCTTGGATTCATTGTTGGAGGAATTTGGTTGGCTTGACAATATCACTGAAGACAGATTGTTGCCAGGCTCCGATGGTGGCCATAGGAATGAAACATCTCCCAAGGAAGCCAAAAGCATGAAATCTACAAATGAACTGGGGGCTGAAGTAAAAAAGATGGACGCTTCTCCAAATAAAATTGAAAAGGAGAAAGAGTTAATTTCACCTGAGAAAAAGTCTACCAACGAGATCTTGGATTCATTGTTGGAGGAATTTGGTTGGCTTGACAATATCACTGAAGACAGATTGTTGCCAGGCTCCGATGGTGGCTCTAGGAATGAAACATCTCCCAAGGAAGCCAAAAGCACGAAATCTACAAATGAACTGGGGGCTGAAGTAAAAAAGATGGAAACTTCTCCAACGAAAACTGAAAAGGAGAAAGAGTTCATTTCATCTGAGAAAAAGTCTACCAACGAGATCTTGGATTCATTGTTGGAGGAATTTGGTTGGCTTGACGATATCACTGAAGACAGATTGTTGCCAGGCTCCGATGGTGGCCATAGGAATGAAACATCTCCCAAGGAAGCCAAAAGCACGAAATATACAAATGAACTGGGGGCTGAAGTAAAAAAGATGGACGCTTCTCCAAATAAAATTGAAAAGGAGAAAGAGTTAATTTCACCTGAGAAAAAGTCTACCAACGAGATCTTGGATTCATTGTTGGAGGAATTTGGTTGGCTTGACGATATCACTGAAGACAGATTGTTGCCAGGCTCCGATGGTGGCCATAGGAATGAAAAATCTCCCAAGGAAGCCAAAAGCACGAAATCTACAAATGAACTGGGGGCTGAAGCAAAAAAAGTTGGACGCTTCTCCAAAGAAAATTGAAAAGGAGAAGGAGTTAATTTCTTGTCTGAAAAAGGTGGAGGCTGGTTCTGAAGATGTTGAGAAGAAGAAGAAGAAAAAGAAAGTTAAGTTTCTATTACAGTGCCTCTGAAGATAAAAATCATGCAGCGCTTCACAAAAACAACAAATGTAAAAATATAAAAAAAACATTTAGAAAATGTTTAAAAATATATTTAAAATGAGCAAAAATAGGCAATTGTGATTAAAAAATATTAAGAAAGACTGAGTGAACAAGAAAGAGGGAAATCAGTGGATCCTGAGGAAGGTGGAATAGGTGGGGAGAGCAGAATAGAGAGAGTGGTGAAGAAGGTCATACAAAAGCCAGCTTAAACAAGTGAGTCTTCAGCTGCTTTTTAAAGGAGACCACTGAGGAAGGAACCACGCACACAATCTGGTCTCAACCCCAAACCAAGACGGACCGTTCTACGTCCAATTAGAGGGAAACCTATTGAGCCAATCACCAAGAACGTTCTTCCTCCTGTAAAGTGGAAACCCATTATATACAGGGGAAAAGCCTGGACTTCCTTATATTTTGAAGGTGTTTCTTTTAGTTAGTTAGTTAGTTAGTTAGTTAGTTAGTTAGTTAGTTAGTTGTTAGTTAGTTAGTTTTCTGTTTCAGTTTATATGACTCTTCCGTACATTTTTTACTGTAGAGCTACAATTTTTCAGCAGTTTACTCAAATGTGGTCAAAGCATTCAGCTTGGAAAGGTCGGCTACGACATTTGAGTTTTTTTAGTTCGTTAGTCAATAGATAAATCATTAGTTTGTTAGGTTTTAGATGAAGTACAAAAAAAGCATGTCATGTTCCCGAGCCGAGGTGAGTGACACCATCTCCACTCTAACTGTGATTGAGCTGATTTCCCTCAGGTGAGGAGCGGAGGGGGCGGCAGCTGCAGAAGATCCCAATCAGGAACTCGGGTTTAAAAGGAGGATGGAGACACTTCACTACGTTGGATGATTGCACCAGTTTAAGTAGCCCCAGCCCTTTGTACTCGTTCTTGTTTGCTCGCTTTGTCTCGTTATTGGATACTTGGATTTTGACCTCTGACTGTTTTTGGATTATCCCTTACGCCTGGTGTTTGTTTCCCTTCCTTCAGCATCCTCACTCAACCTGCTTCCCTCTCGCTGTTTTGTACTCGGGATTCATACACCACGTCCCATCCTCCTCCGTTGTTCCTATTGGCCCCTCTCTGCGACCTCACTCATCCCGGATCGCTCACCCTCTGCCCAACGCTCACCTCGGCTCCCCCGCCTCCCTCATTCATCCCGAGCGCTACTTGGACTCGAGCTACACCGCTCACTCCCACAGGACTTCCCTGTGCTATTTTTGTTCCCGTTTAATAATAAAGAACTTTACTTTTACTCCATCTGCCCGACGAGTATTTATTCTGCATGTCTTGGGTTAGACACTTACCTCGAGTCATGACAGAATCATCCGGCCATCAAACTAACCCAGCGGAATCTGCACTCGCCGATCTGGCTACCCAGTTGTCGCAGCAGGAGCAGACTCTTCCCGTCCTCATGGAGCAGCTTAACATCGCTAACCAGCGTTACCAGCACTTGGAGATCGTCATCCAGCAGCTTCATGAGCGACTTCCTGTTCCAGCCTCTGCTCCTGCCCTTGCTCCAGCATCAGCCACTGCTCCGGCGTCTGGAACAGAACCACCAGTTCACGCCTCTGGAGGAATGGTTCCACCCGGACCGGAAGTGCGTGGTCCTCCGGAAGTCACCCACTTCCATTCGGCTCCACCTCTGCCATGTCTGACTTTCTCCGGTGAGTTCGAAGACTGTTATGGCTTCTTGCTTCAGTGCCACCTCGCTTTTGAACGCTCTCCGAGATCTTTTCCAACAGACTCTATGAAGATCTCTTTTATTGTGGGACTATTGAGAGGCAAGGCACTTAGGTGGGCGGAGGCCAAGAGCAGGAATCCTGATTTCCTGTCAGGCTCCTACTCTGATTTCCTGGAGGATTTTAAATTGACTTTTTGTAGTTCTGAAACCACCACTGATATCAGGAAGAGACTCCTACACCTCTCGCAGGGACGGAGGACAGTGGCGGATTTGTCCCTGGAATTCAGGACTTTGGCTGCTATGATGTCATGGAACGATGATGCACTAAAGTCGGCCTTCATTGAGGCTTTGAGTGACCGGGTCAAGAACCACCTGGCTCTGTGCCCCGAGCCATCCACCTTGGATGGATTAATTTCGTTGTCCATCTCGATAGACAAGAGACATCGGGAGCTACAGAGGTCTTCAGCGAGGGACCTGTCACCGCCACCTCCTCTTCATCGCTCAGCCCATAGATCTCCTCCTCCGGACTCTTCTGAGGAGCCTATGCAGTTGGGACGGACTCACCTGACGCCTGAGGAACGTAGACACCGACTCAACAAAGGACTGTGCTTACACTGTGGGCAACCGGGACACTTTGTGCAGACCTGCCCGGCGGCGTTAAAAGGGCGTGCCCACCAGTAGGTCCGGGAGTTCTGGTGGGCAGCTATTCAGGTAACAGAACCTTCCGTTTCCTCATAGACTGCCTTGTGACTTTCAATAGCCGTTGTCACCAGACGACTGCTTTAGTGGACTTGGGAAGTGAGCAGTCGCTGGTGGATCCACAACTAGTGTGTGAGTGGGGAATACCACAGATCTGCTCCCGGAGCCAATGTCAGTTTCCTCTCTGGATGGGAGGTCTCTGTCTACCATCACACACCGGACCCTACCACTCCAGCTCCAGGTCTCAGGTAACCACACGGAGACGCTCTCACTGTTTGTGTTCCCCTCCCCGCAGAATCAAGTAGTGCTGGGCCATTCCTGACTCAAGGCACATAACCCGCAGTTGGACTGGAGAGCCAACCGTGTCGAGACCTGGAGTCCAGAGTGCCATTTGACCTGTCTAACCTCTGCATCTTCTGGACCCAAGGACTCTTTCGAAACTCAGAAGGAGCCGCCCGATCTCACCCAGGTACTCCCTGAATACCATGCCTTACAGCAGGTGTTCAGTAGAGACCAAGCAGCCACATTACCACCTCACCGCCCCTTCGATTGTGGCATTGACCTGTTGCCAGGAGCTCCGCTCCCATCCAGCCGCCTCTACAACCTGTCCAAACCTGAACAAGACTGCATGCGGACTTACATCACTGAAGCTCTGACCAATGGCACCATCAGACCATCTACCTCGCCCCTGGGAGCTGGGGGTTTTTTTTGTGGCCAAAAAGGATGGGTCTCTTCGTCGACTCGACTCGACTCAGTAAAATTGTGTCTTGTTAAGAATCCCCAGAGTTAGACAAGTCAGAAAAAGCATTTTATAACCAGCCCAATATGATCTGGCAGCAGTTGGTTTTCTTAGCTTAGCATAAAACAATGTAAGTGAATTCACATATATTGTAGTGTTTTTTTATGTAGGTGAATGCAAGCCTTCCCTTCCATTGCTTTATGCTAAAACAACTGGTTACTAAATGTTTTTTCTGACTTAGCTAACTCTGGGAAATCTAACAACACTCACAAGTTTAGGGACAGAAGATCCCTATAAGAATATTAAAATAATAAAAATCAGCAATAAATAAAACGTAATAGTTGTGCTTTGTAACAAAGTAACACTCTGTGGAAGTTAACTTGGTGAACTTATTCACAAAACGTATTCATAAAGCTGGCGCCATCTGCTGGATAGGTAGCGCAATATCGGCCGTCTTTTTGGCCGATAGCCAATAGTGTTAATGACCTTAATATCGGATAGTATCGGCCGGCCGATATATCAGTCGGGCCCTAGTTTTAACTGCTGCAAATCTGCAACGCCTGCCTCCAGAGGGTTAATACGTCAGCAGTGGACAGATTTTCTGCATTATTTGACAACAGCTTAGTTCATGGCGGTGACCCAAACTCTTTTATCCATCAGCCTCATGTATCTTATTTACTGTGGTTCTGTCAAAGCGTTAGGTCTCACAGAAGAAACTGTCTTTGGGTCAAATATTTACAGCTTCAGAAAGACATGCCGCCAAGCTGAAAGGTGAAATCCATTAGGTTAAAGGTTCATAGGCAGCATTTTAAGGAGCTTATAACATCTTTGAATGAGATGGTGAAAAATTCTGAGGATATCATGGTGGCTGCAGGCAACCAGGCATTCACAGTCTTAGTATTGTTGAATCTTTCTGCAGTTTTTGACACTGTTCAGAACCATGTGAGGATCTCTAGAACTGTTCTAGATAAAAGGATTCTGACTTTTGTATACGGTCTGAATCTATCAGCTATCACCAGCTGGCTAGAAGATAACTTCCTTCAGTTAAACTCTGAAAAGACTAAATGTCTGATCATCTATAGTAAGGCCCTTTCTGACCCTTTAGGAAGTAGAGCGGGTTGTCCAGGACTGCAGAACATCATTAAAAACTCTAAGAAGGGCAGTCTCAGTACTATGACCGGGACGGAACCCTGATTGCAAAGGGTCTCAAATGTTAAAAGTGTTAAAAATGTTGTGATTTTAATTCTTTCAATTGTTTCATGACATTTTATTTAGTTCTTAGGATGATTTAATGACTATAAGTTGTTTTGTTGATCTCTGTGAAACACTGGTTTTTCTTTCTGTGATAAGTGCTATATAAATAACTTTTACTTACTGACCACTGCAGAAATTTGAATTAAGTTTGAAAAATCTCAAATCCCTAAAAATCTAACAGGTGGCAGTTTAACCATTTTTAGGCAGACTGAATATTTTTTCCAGATATTCACCACTATACATCTATTTAACGTCTCAGATGAGCAGCATATTTTAAAACATCACTTTCTTTAGTGTCCCTAAACTTTTTGTTTTTGAAGCATCTACATCAGTGTCGCCACCATGAAAAGCAAAATAAAATCACCCTGAAGTTAGTTTTAGGTTGTAAATATGACAGACATGTTAATCCTGGTTTTTAAATGTTTCACAAAGTTGTGACACGATACAGCAGATCTGATCATCTTTTTGTGTTGCTGCTCATCACAGACATACAATTGAAAATATATAACAGATTTCACTTTAAGTAACTTCACCCCACAATTGTTTTATTAGATTATACAGATGGTTTCCATATTTAATATTATTATTTTGATGGGGACATTTATAGGTTTGACAATAGCTTCCACATCATGAGACTTAATGAAATTTTGTTTTGACATTTCATTTTTAGATGGTGTTCTCTCTTTTTAGTGTGAAAATGTTCCAGAGATGTTGTGGTACTTTACCTCAAGTTCTGCCAATGTTTACTGAGATACCAAGTTCACTTGTTTTGTTAAAACATTTGCAGTGGTTTCTCGTATAAATAAATGCCTTGTAAGTCCATCTCTTTGGGTAAAATGCTCTGATGCTCCTGTTTCAGGGAAGAGAAGTTAGTTGGAAGAGAGGGCAAGAAACAGCAGGATTTAATACTCTATAGGGAGTCTAAGTCACTTCCGCACCATGGGTCCCAGGCAAAAACAAAAAATGAATGCAAGTTAACAGGGCTAAAAACGTTATTTTCTAATCCACTTTGCCTTACGCCCTGGATCACACATATGTTGTACTGCAATTTAAATGAAAGTAATGGTGGGTGTTTCGACCACGCCAGTCATGTACTTTGAGATTTATTAGCTTGTAAAAGTTTGTAATTAGCATGACTACAAACTAGAAATCGGCATGTTGCATATGTGATGTCACGTCACCACATAATCTCCTCTCCCCTAGCGTAGCTGCTACTTACCAAATGACCAGATTTATGGTGGTTCTTTCCTCCTGTGTGAGGTTTGCTGAACTTACAGCCCTTTTCCTTCAGTTTTCTCCATGTCTGGTTCGGTCTGGTTTGACGATGTCACTTTCGTGATGCGCACAAAACAAGTGGAATTAGAAAATAGCGTTTTTAGGCCCATTGAATTGCATTCATTTTTTCGTTCTTCCGGGAACCCATGGTGCGGAAGTGACTTAGGCTCCCTATTATTTCCTGATAGTCGGACACCTCTTATTGGCTGGTTTCTCTGTGAACTTGCTCATGCAGGAAGCCCACCCTGCAAGTTGCAAAACAGCAGGAAGAAGACATTTTTTATGTCCCCCACACAAATTATTCTCTGAAACTACAAGGTTTATCCCCCCGCCAAAAAATAAAAAATAAATCAAATTTCTGCCTCTGCTCCAACCCAGAATCCTAAAATCCTTACATGTTACATTGATGGATCTGCTCAGCTTTTCAGCAATCAGCATTCAAACAGCATTTCTGCAAGAAATGCCATTTACCGGTATGTAGCTATTTTCCTTACATATGTTTTGTTAGTTATTTTACTTTCAATCGTTTTAACGCTGTTATCCACATCCACAGTTCCAAAACTGCGCTGCTGTAAGTGGCTGCATGTTGGAGTAGCTCTGTTGA